GTGTTTTTGTTGTTTTGTTTTTTTTTTTCAGATGAAAACGAGTGTGAGCAGAACAACGGGGGCTGCAGTGAGTTCTGTGTGAACCTGAAGAACTCCTACCGCTGCGAGTGCGGGGTCGGGCGCACGCTGGGCAGCGACGGCAAGACCTGTGAAGGTGAGGCTTCAGCTGCCACAGGGGCAATAGAAATCGCTCCCCCTCCCTTGCAGCACTGCTGGCTCCTTGCAGCTGGGATTAAATGTCACTCATATCACCTCTGTGCTTGCCAGTGGGGTTGTTCCTAAAATATCCTTCTAAGTGAGCAGAGAGAGAAGCCTCCTTGTTGTTCTCCCTGCCTCGTTCGCTTCTGTTAGGATTTCCTTGTGTTTATCTCCGTGGGGGAAAGGCAGTGGTGGATCTGGAAGACTGGTTGTCCACACAAAACTAGTTATTGCTGGAGTAGCTGGGATTCAGCTCTGGAGATTTGTGTGGGGGCAGATTTGGCATTGCTGGGTTTTGGCAGCTGACATGAGGTGTGGGGTAATGTCATGACGTTAGACTAGAGCACAAGGATAACTTCAGTCTCCCGGGGCAGAGATTGAGGAGAGAGGGTGCCAGTGTGTGAACAGAAGCTAGATTTGAGATTTGGGCTGCGTTTTGGCTCTTTGGTGTCTGTGAGTGGTTAGCTGTGGGCTCAGCTGCTACAGCTCCTTCCCAGGGGTGGCACAGCCAGGTTGAAAACCCTTGATGAGTTTAGACCTGTGACTTAGAGACCAAATGGTAGGTTTGATCTGTTGTCACCAACAGTGTACAAACATCTTTGGGGCAGAAATAGGCAAACCAAGTAAAAATAGACTTGTCCCTGATGTTTTCTGTGGTGAGTTTTTATTCCAGGGCTGCTGGAATAGTCTGTCTTGGAAACTTGTTAGTTTGTGCTCTTCAATATGTTGGCTTTTAGGGCCTTTGATATATCATTTAATTTCCCCTTCTGTAAGAAGGATGGTGCTTTTCATGAGTTCAGCACTGCTGCTGGGGATTTTTACAGTCTTGTTAGTGAGTTTTATTTCAAAAGATGTGCCCTCAGCTTTGTGAGCCCTTAGAGGGTGTGATTTACTTGTGAGCCACCTCACAGCTGTTGCTAAAAAGAACAAATGCAAGAGATTTAGTTTGATTACATGAGCTGGTGAGTCTGAGTAGGGTTAAAAGTATCTCAGAATTTCCATTGTGATGCTTTACCCATTACTTTGACTGATATAGAGTGTTCAGGCTCTTGTTTTCCATGCATTATATAGGATTCAGTATGGGATTTCCATTATTTTCTTCACATTTCAGTGAAAAACCACACAGTCATTTCTGATGGCAGTCTTGGGGAGAAATATTTTGTCTTTATGATTTGTTTATCTCATGATGTACTATTGTTTCACTGAGAACAGTAGTACTCATCTAGCACACTCATCCCCAAGGGTTAAAAAAAAAATCAAGCAGTGAAGATTATTTCCAAAAAAATCATGACCCTGTTATT